CGATCCCATAGCACTGCAACTTCGTGAAGAGAACGCCCTTCATGGACTCTCGGCGCATGGCATCAGAGCTCGCAGCATTGCCAAAGCCGGTCACGAAGACAGGCTCGACATTCTTGGGCCGCCCGTTCTCCGAGTTGATCGCCGAGCGCAGTGCAGATCTGGCAAAGCTGAAAGCCGAACTGGGTGCACTGTCCAAAGACCACTTCCAGATGGACGACATAGCACTGGTTCGCTATCTGTGTGGGTTCGGCAGCGTCCAGAACAGCTTTGCAGCAATCCGTGCTGCAGCATATCTCAGCAAGACGAAAGCAGATCTGCTGAAATCAGCTGAAGTTGAACAGTCTGCTCCGTGCGCTGACAAGATTGAGCCTTATTCCAAGTTTCACCTCTGGGAATCTGGGGATAGAATGCTCTTCATCGTCCCAGTCGCACAGACTGACTTCAAGCCACTTATGAAGGCAGCTTCTGAAGAAGACATCATCGACTACAGCCTCCACACCGCACGGAGACTCTGGAACTGGGTCGACAGGACTTCACGCAGGTGTGGCAGAATCATGAAGTACGAGGTAGTCTGCGACTTCACGGGCTTCTCCTTCCTTACCATGCCTCCGCGCGCCTATGTGCAGGCCATGTCGCAGATGAGCGAGATGTCCGAGGTGTTGCACCCGCTGTCCATGGGATCTACCACGGTGACAGGCCTGCCGGGCGCACATCTCGCCAGGAGATTGAGCAGCATGTTCCGGCCCTTCCTCCCCAAGTCCATGGCTGAGACACAAATCTGCTGTGGGGATCGAACGAAGCAATCGCCGGCCTCCTGTCCGTACCTCCAGAGGCACTTCGCAGATGACATGCGTTCGCTTGATAGTCTTCTGGGTAGAATTTGCCCGGTGACTGGCCATGCTGCCAAGATGGAGTCGGACTGGACTGAGAAGAAACTTGTCGACTTCGAGGCACACGTGGCAACCCTCGATCCGGAAAGCACCGAGATCAAGACGATTTCCCTTTGAGCCATTGCTTCCGACCCAGGTCCAGGTAGTTACTACACCACCGGAATGTACAGACAGGACCAGCTAGCGGTTGGAGTGTTCGTGGCGCGTGTCATCAGCTGATACAAATTGCAGTTTTGCATGCCGCGTTGCCTTGCGATTCCGTTTTCCAGCCACGTCGCCCACAAAGGGTTGACTGGCCTTTCGCGCAAGCTAAATGTATAGTCATACGACTCTAAAAGTGTCCTACAGCGCCCACTTACAGTACGAACCGTGTTTCGCACTTTCTTGGCTGCCTCGGCTGCATGGTGGGTTTTGCATTGAAAGCAATGCCTCCACTAGAGCACAGGCGTCCTCGAAAGCCAGAAGACCCACTTCTCACGCAAAGCTTGTGTGTTCCGTCAGAAAAGACACTCGCTCGGGTTGGTTTGTTGCTTTGTTGCGTTTGTGCGGCCGGGGAAACATGAAACCCCAGTTTTCTCGGGCAATGCTAGCCTGAAAAGTCTGCTCTGGGTATCACCGGAAGAGAGGACTGTGACAAATTGACCGGTTCTGGCAGCTGGTGCGAAGTATGCGCACGCAACAACCGATCGCTGAAAGGAAGACTTCGAAATCACCTTGGGAAACCAAGCAAGAGGGACACCCAACTTGATGACGACGCAGGCATAAAGGCACGATCCCATAGCACTGCAACTTCGTG